CTTCCCATCAATTTGTGAAGGGGGGGAGGGGGAAACTTCAGCAAAAGAAATAAATGGATGCTTTAAGCCAGGGGTCCCCAACCAATGGGCAATCAGCCTATGGCCCATTAGTTGGGGACCCCTGGCTTAAAGCATCCATTTATTTCTTTTGCTGAAGTTTCCCCCTCCCCCCCTTCACAAATTGATGGGAAGATTTTAGCGTGACGATCCTTTCTCGTTAATTTAGCTACACTCCTAAAACGACTCTTAAGACAATTGAAAACCAATCTTCCTGGTGGCAATGACCGGAGTGAGATGAACTGTGAGCCCTTCAACTGCATGATCCTTATGCAGATAAAAAAGGCTATTTTGCAAGATCTGAAGCAGCTGTCTCTGCCTCCCCACTTTCCTTCCTCTCAGCGAGAACCGACGACCCATCCTAAAAATTAACTGCCCAACATCGTATTCGCATTTTTACAAACACAGATTAGATGCATGAAAGGGACTTTGCATAGCATTCTTTTCCCCCAGTTCTCATAGGGTTTTTTTTTTTTTTTGCACATGTAACTGAGCAGTTTCAGGAGAGCACAAACTCCTAAATAGAAACACCAATTCATCTTCACCAGAGGGTTTGTGATCTCACCCAAGAGGAAGGGAGGAGGCAAACAATTCATACACCCGTTGAGTTTGCAAAAGTTGCATCCTCTCTATTAAGGATTTCTTTTCAGGTCCCAGCAAAAGGTCAAGAATGCCACAACGTTTAAACTCCTTCCTCTTGTCCTTAAGATCCGGGATAAGGCAGGTTCTTATCACCCGAGTAATTAAATGCATTTCAAAACACTGCTTTTTTTTTTAAACATTATTGCTAGATCTAAGCCAAAGTTATAATTAGCACATGGGATTCATCCTTCGAATCCACAGAGTAAAAACTTTTTGTCAGTTTCACCATCGTAAAGAAAGGCTGGCTTGTCGGAAAATAAAGTCTCCTAAAAGGGGTGGGGGGAGAGGCGGAGGGAGAGAAACATTCAGGATTAAAATAAAATAAAAATTGTTCCAGTCAGTTTGCTTCCACCGTTAACCTGCACGTAAAGAGTTGTGGAATCCAAAGCTTTTTGTTTTGTCTTCTCCCAATAAATATTGTAAAATAAGTTTCCAAGCTGCAAAGAAAGCAGTCCAGCTTTTTTTTTTTTTAGTCCAGGGAGATGATATCCGGAATGTTGCTCCCGGTGGTGCTGGTGAGCACAGCCGTCTCGTTCCGGCCCGAAGAGCTAACGCGAGTGCTGCTGTTGCTGCTGCTGCTGTCGAGGGGGCTGGCTGAGGTGAGGAGATTGCCAGAGGTGGTGTTTGCTGGCAAAGTCGAGGCGAGACTATCCAAAAACATAGGAGCACAGTACTGCTTGAAACAAACAATGATGGAGGGTAAGGAAGAGAGACTAGATGCAAGCGGGGAGAACAGCATGCACACCTGAGCCACAGGGGGCCAACTGCACCAAGCTTCTGCCAAGGGAGTGTTTCTCAACTACACCATGTGTGGACTTCCAACTCCCAGAATTCCTGGGACTTTGGAAGTCCACACATCATATAGTTGACAAAGGTAACAAACACTGCTCTGGACTGTTTATGGCAGAGGGGGTCAAAACCAGGGGTGGGTTTCAACCGGTTCACGGCGGTCCCCGCGAACCGGTTGGTTGGCGAACCCGGAAGTAAGTAACTTCTGGGAACGGCCCACCCGCCCGCCCTCCTTACCGGTCTTTGAAGGCTTCTGCGCTTCCACGCAGGCGCATGGCACATACAGCGCCTGCGCAATT